TCGGGAGCGAGGGGCAGAGAAGGGGGGTGTCGAGGCCGCCTCTTGATGTCAAGGCTTTAAAGGGGCCAGGGAGCCCCGCCCCTCACACAGGTCCCGCCCCCCGCCTTCCGCGCAGCCAATCCACGTTCACCCTGGATGCGCGCTCCTCCCAGCTCCTCCAGATGTTCCCAGGACGAAAGCTAGAGTCTGTCCCGCCGGCGCGCGCCGCTTCCGCCCCGGAGGGAAGGACCGCCCCTCCCCCTTATAGAGAAACACTCTTCCCAGCCTAGGCGGGGTCGGGCCTGGTAAACCTACCCAGTGCCAGGGTACAAGACGCCAGGCTGGGCCGAGCCGAGGTAGAATGGGGGGCATTTATAGTACAGAAAACTAGTTGCACGCGGACCTACAGGCATGAGCGTCTGCTTCTGTGGCGCTGTGCGTGCACGTGGATATGTGGTTGTGTTTGCAATTTGCCTTCCTGCATACGTGTTAGGAGTAAATACATAGGAAGAGGCTTGAGTGCCTCCTTGGCCTTAAAAGCTCAAGCCTCTCTTTTCTTCCTTTGGGATGGGGACCTCCCAGTAATATGCAAAACTGGGCGCTGGTAACAGGTTCCACTCCTCTTAGAGCAGTGCTGGTCTGCTTCCTTACTGGTTTAGGAGAGTGAAGGCTGGGCAGAAAACACACGACCTTGTTCTCAGCCCCTTGCTATCTCACTGGGGACAAGTTCCTTTCCTGTTGAACTAACACATGCTTAAAGAGGAAAAGCAAACAGCCCACCTAGGCCCCTACAGAGCCTCAGAGATCCCTTGAATCCCATTCTCATTGTACCTTGGGTAATTTGCCCTTCTCTGGATACCGTATAATCTGCATAATCTGCGTAATCTGCATTTTACTAACTGGCCTGGAAATGCAGGTTCTGGACTGGGTTCTGCAAGGAAATACAAAGGGATCCCTAGCCACAGTCTCTATCCATTTTATTAAAATTGCTTCTGTTGCAGTATGTATTAAAGCATCATATTAGTCCAATAAAGGAACATAAAAGATGAGAGAATATAGGGTGCTCAGACTGGTTAGGATTAATTAAGAGTTCCTCTCTGAAGGAGGATCCTTAATTTAAAATGAGATTTGGAGGGCAGAGAGAATTTGAGTAGGATCCAGGCAGCATTAAGGACATGAAGAGACTCAGGAGAGCAAATTATCTGTGTGGGACAGTGAGCTAATCATATTAGTAGGGTGGGAAGTGGGAGAAGTTAATGGAGGAAGGTTTAGTATGGCAATCAGAACCAGGATATGGATTTGACAGGGCAGGTGATAAAGAAGTCATTTTGGGTTCTTGAGCATAGGGGTAGCTTGACTTTTTCAAATGCCTAAGGATGTTATTATTGGAGCCTAAAAGATGTCATGATGATTAGTCCCAACGGCTCTCTTGCTTTTGCTTAAAAATATTTTTTTAAATTTATCCTTACAGTAAAATATGCAGATCTTAGGTGTTCTGTTTGGTGAATTTCAACAATAATATACACCTATGTAATCCCCAAAACAAGATACTGAACCATCACCCCAGAAAATTCTGTCACGCCCGTTTATAGTTGATTACCCTGCACCTAACACCACCCTCTCCCTGCAACTTCCTGAATTCTATCACTGTAGTTTTGTCTATTCTTGGATTTGTATAAGTGGAGTCATAAAGTATGTGCTCTTTTGCATCTATATTCTCTAGCTTTGTAATGTTTTTGAGATCCAGCCACGTGTAGTCTATTCTTTTTTATTGCTGAGTAATATTCCATTGTATGATTTACATCATAATTTATTTATCTACTCTCCAGTCGATTGATAGATAGTTTTAGTTTGGGGCTATTATGAATAAGGCTGCTAGAAACATTCTTGTTCAAATATTTTTGTGAACGTTTTAATTCCTCTCACCTTATTCCTTGATGATAGTGGCATGTTTGGAATCCCACAGCATTAATTAATTCTTATTCAGTCACCCAACATCTATTGAATAGGGATCAGTGGATGAGTTCTTGGTTTTACAACAAAAATTGGTACGATCCTTTCCTCAAAAGGCTTGTTAAGTCCGTAAAACTCCATGTATCTGTTGCATTCCAAAGCTGTGGGGTGAATAAACCTTAAGAGTCTGCCAGATATTTTTAACTGTTTTTGGATGTTTCCAAATAACTAAGTTTTTGGAAGCAAACAGATTTGGATGATTTTTTACTTTTCATTCAGATGTTTTCCTTTTACACAGCCAGAGCATCTGCGCTTGTACCTGCCCTACTTAAAGGCTCTTGCACACTTGAAAGTTTAGGCTTTCAGGTTTCGCAGATTCTTTATGCTTCACAAACCATCTTCACTGACAGGAGGTAAAAGGATAGTTAATGTTGCTCCACAATCACTTTCTGTCTTTGATGAAGCTTAAAACACTTTCATTCCTCAGTGGTATTATTCACTTAAATTATTAAAAATTATACAGAAGTCCCAAAGTTGGTTTTTCACCTATAACACACTGCTGATCATATATTGTTTTTTACTTGAGTTGCCTGTGTTACAAAACAAGCTAGGCTTCTTAGATCTCTGATTGTTGCAAGCTGTGGGAAACAAACCAGTTTGGTGGTGTGCATACAGTGCCAATGACTGACTGGTAGATGGCATCTCCGAGAACCAACCCCTCACTGCTCACATCAGTACTTTGGGGTCTTCTGCTTCAATACTATGCAGTCATTCATTCAGTGTTGGAGCATCTTCTTTCCTCAGTCTAGCAAGATAGCTCTTTGGCCACTGTGTTACATTAGTTAATAAATTGACCCCAGTTTAGAATTCCCGACATCAGATTGGTCAGGTAACTGGCCTTTCAAAACATTTAACAATCTGTCTATTCTCCAGGTTGTATTGACTCTTGAGTGTATTCTTGATGTCTTTCCTGCTCAATAAGAGGAAGAAAGGAGCTGAGGGAAGGCTAATGCTTATTCTATTTACTTAACAGGAACATAGCTTTGCTATTGCTGCTTAATTCTACATGGGGCAATTATATTCTTTGAGTCAGGATGGCATTGCCAGTGCATGCTTTGAAACTTATCTGGCACAGATATGATGGATCTGCCCAAGTTCTTTTCCCTCATTTTCATCAATTGAAAATTCTTATTGAGTCTTTACTATATGCTAGGCACTGTGCATTAGAGAACTAACATGGAATTCTTTTAGGGGTATGATAAGCAATGAGATTGAAAAAGTAAGCAGTGGAAGATCATAGTTTATCCTAAGAGCAATAAAGAACTTTTGAATGGTTTTAAGCAGGGGGGTGGCATAATCATAATTCCATTTTAGAAAGATCACTGTGTTTGCAGTGTGGAAAATAGAACAGAAGCCAAGGACACCAGATGCAAAGTTTTTGTAGTAATTGTGGGAAAAAATGAGAAATGTGCTCTGAACTAGGAAAGTGATAATGGTGATGGAGAGAAGATGACTTCAAAAATAGTAGTACAGTCAGCAGGTCTTAGGATTGGAAGTGGAGGGAAACAGAGAGCTAAGCCAAGACCTCTGGACTGAGTTATCTTGCAAATAGTAGGACCACCTCTGAAATAAAAAACACTGGAGGAAGAGCAGGTTTGGGAAATGATATGCTCACTTTGAAACATGTTGACATTGAAATGCCTGGAGGATGTCTAAGTGGGAATGTCTATCCTAGAGGTAAGAACATCCCAACTGTTGTGCCTCAGGAAGAAGTTACAAATGTGCTGCATACTGACCTTCTCAACTCTCAGGGCAGCAGAGGCTCCCTCTGACAGACAGCAATCTTGGTTATGCTGGGTTGCCATGAAAACACCATCATTTTTTATGTGTGCCATGATGTGGAAATGGTTGAGAAGCACTGATGTATAATGCTGTTGGATAAATAATTCTGAAGCTCAGGAAGAAGATCTGGACTAGAGATCGAGATTTGTGACTCATCAGAACACAGGTGGTAACTAAAGCCAGAGAGTGGGGAAGATCGTGCAAGGAGAGAAGAGGGACTGGAACAGAACCCCAAGGAACAGCAACATTACAGAGGGGTCTGCAGAGAAGAAACAAAACTGGCTTAGTGCTGTCACCAGAGCCCAAGAGGTTTCCAAATAAAGACCAAATAGTTCTGATATTGCTGATTACAAGTTGGATCAGGCTGAGACATACCTGCTGACTTAGCCACATGTCATTGGTGACTAGCAAAACCAGATTTTGAAGGGTTGAGAAAGATGTGTAAGGTAAGGGATGGACACAAGAAGTGTTTAAAACTCTTTCAAGAATTTCAGCTATGCTGTGAGGGAAAAGTTAGATAGATGGGTGGGGCAATGGTGGATGAGTTATTTTAGAAAGACTCTGCTTAATTTAACTTAAAAATATTTAAAATATTATTTTTAAAAAGCACAGGTACATATTCTTAAATAATCAAATAATACAGAAGCAATTATTTGCTGCAATTCCCACCCCCAGCAATGAGCCATTTCAACCTTTTGGATGATTCTTTGATATGAGTAAATATGCTTATCTGCTATTCTTTTTTTGCCTTTAGACGTTTTATTAGTCTCTGTACATTCTTTTTAAATGGCACAAAAATGGGATCTTACCATTCCCATTGTGCTGCACCTTCCTTCTTGCACTTAAAATATCTTAGCAACTGTTCTATATTAACATATGTAGATTTATCTTGTTCTTTAAAACAATTGCATAGTAATCCATTTATGGCTGTACTATATTTTTTCCTACTGATGGGAATTTAGGTTTCCGGCTTTTCACTTTTATCGACTAGCTGTAATGGATAACACTGTACATACAACCTTGCATACTTATGTGAGTATATCCACGGGATAAATTCCTAGCAATGGGATTCCTGGGTGTATGCAGTATACATTTTGAAAAATATTGACAAATTACCTTTCAAAATGGTCATGCTAATTTACATTCCTACTAACAGGATAATAAGAATACCTATTTCCCATATTCTCATCAGCACTGTCTTAAAAATTTGTCAATATTGCTTTAAATGATGAAATGTTATTTTTATTTGCATGTAATTAATAAGGATTAAGATTAAACAAGTTTTCAGGTATTTGCTATTATCATTTTTTTGTGAATGTCTTTTTTGAATAGTTGGATAAGTTGTTTATATTATAATAAAATTTTCCCTTTGTCACATGTATTGCAAATAGTTTTCCTCCTTGATAGTTTGTCATGTGACTTTACTGGATTTTTTTTTTTGCTTTGCTTTCTGTAGTCAAATTTATTGCTCTTTTCTGATATGGCTTTTGGGTTTTTTCTTATGCTTCGAAAGTATTCTAAATTTTAAAATTACCTTTATCCTCTACTATGTTTATGGTTTTCTTTTTACTTTTAAATAGTCCATCCAAGAGCTACTTAAATGGCAAAGACCATTGGTATTTCTCATGTCTGCTCAGAATGACATTTCCATTCTAGACAGTCAGTCCTGTTCGGTTGTCAAAGTACAAAACACCCATTCCTGAGTACCTTTGCCAACAGGTTCTTTTATCCAGGTTCATAGGACATGCTCCTTTTCCTCTTGTCCATCATTACATAAGCTCTTTTCCCGTCAGGGACAGCTCAAATCTCATATTCTCCAGAAAGTCTTCCATGCCTATTGTAGCCCACTAAGTTTTCCTTTTCTGAAGCTCACAGGATTGCATGCTACCTTGGAAGAGCCTCTCCTTTTCTCTTCAACTTTAACATATTTACTGAATGAATAAAATCTAACCTTTGGAAGTCCAGGGTGGTTTAATTTACTTTTCCCTACCTCCACAGCAGTTAAAAGCATGCTAGATATATCGAAGGAATTTGATAAAATACTTTTTGATTTGCGATAAAAGTATAGGCATTAGCCCCTTGTGGCTAATGAGCATTTGAAGTGAGAAGAGCTATAAATGTGAAATACACACATTTTTAAGACAATATTTAAAAAATGTAATATATCTCATGAATAATTTTTATACTGACTGAATGTTGAAATAATTTTTGTACATATTGTATTATATATTTTTTAAAAATGTTAAAAGTATATCCAGGGCAATTCCCTATTCGAGTCCTTTAAGAAGTCATAATTGGTGTTGGCTCCTAAATTAGGTTGATTTGAGGATAAATAAGATGATCCTTTTTTGGAACCAAAGATATTGTCTCCAAGGGCTCTCACTGGTCATTATTGCAATCATTACCTTCTTGGTATCAGGGTCTCACCTTTATAAGCACTCTTTATACATCTTTGAAACTAATTGCTGCAGACTTGAAATGCAACAGTTCCTTCCAAACAGGTCAGATAACTGCTCAGCCAATAGAACTATTAGTAAGGAATAGGTCAGGTTCAGATGCTGAAGCATTGCCCAAAGCTTTTAATGGTTAACTAGATGGAGCCCCTGCCTACCGCTTTGGCACAGGACCATTTCTTGCCATTAAGGAGTTATCCGGGACAGGTGCCATGGGCTTGTAGCCTAATCTCATTGTAGTCGTAGCCCCTGTATTAGTTTCCTGTCTCTGATGTAACACATCGTCACAAACATACTGATTTAAAACAGCACAAATTTATTCTCTTAACAGTTCTGCAGGTCAGAAGTCTAAAATCAAAGTGTTGGCAGGGCTGCATTCCTTCAGGGGAGAGTCCATTTCCCTGCCTTTTCTAACTTCTAAAAGCCACCTGCATTTCTTGGCTCAAGGCCTTCCTTACATCACTCCAACCTCTTGCTTATCATTACATCTACTGTGGTCGAATCTCCCTTTGCCTCCCTCTTTATAAGGACACTTGTGGTTACAATTAAGGCTGATAATCCAGGTTAGTCCTGTCTCAAAATCTTTAAGGATCTTTAGTCAAGATCCTTAATCTACACATTTGTACACATCTACAAAGTCTCTTTTGCTATAAGGTAGCATTCACAAGTCCCAGAGATTAGGGATGTGGACATCTTGGGGAATCATTACTCAGCCTGCCACAGCCCCATATACTTTTCTTCCCACTGTCTAGGTGGACGGTGGTAGGAGAGACCCCCAGCAGGGTCACAAGGTTTCAAAGGGTTCTTAAATTAAGATCTACAGAGAAATAGGTGAATTCAGATCTATAACTCCTGTGATCATTCTGAGATGATTATAAACTGCCCTCATTTCCAATAGCAACGATCACTCCCTCCCAGCATTGCTTCTTTTAAAATACTCTGTAGTGCTGAAGCTGAACTCCTTATTACTTCCTTATCCTAAAACCCAAATATTTAAAGATGCATGTTTTCTACAGAGATGAGGTCTTTTTCTCATAAGTCTTTGATCTAACAAGCCTAGTTGTCTGCGGCATGTTTACAGATTTTGTTTAATACTCTGTATTCTGCAAAATACCTTCACATCCTTCAGCTCAGTTGGGCATAGGAAAGGGGCTGGTTATATTAGTTGTGTAGATGAGTCAACTGAGGCTCAAAGAGGTTAAATGGCTTGAACAGGGTGGCCATACGATGAGTATGATTGATTCATACCTGGCAGATTGATTCATACCTGATGTTCTTCCCACTGCACTGTTCCCAGATCAGACTCAATCCCAGGGGGCTGAGAAGGAGCTGACTATTGGCCTTGGAATCCCTGTCTCCTGAACATGAAACAGATTGAAACCTACTTTTAAGAGGTTCTACTCAGGGGTCAAAGCTAGAGGTAGATAGATGGGAATTTCAGGAATTCAGGGGAAGGGTAGGGTTGCTGGCAAGTCAAGAGTACAGTGAGAGAGTAGTTAGGACTGAGGGAGACTTAAGAGGGTCTATGTCTGCTATATGTGGCTGCCAACTACTTTTCCAAAATATGCATGAGGACCAAGCCTGTTTAACTGATAAGCAGCAGCAGGGGCACTACTTAGGTCCTTGACCTAGAATTAGGTATGACTTCCATGAGGGGAATTCTAAGAACATCAGGGATAACTAAGAATGGCCTGGCTGAAGCTCTTATTCCCAGATGGTGCACAGTAACTCCAAAGCCCACGCTCTTTTACACTGGCTCTTCAGTCTCCTGATTTCTGTGCCCTCTCAAGGCATAGGAGTCAAAGTCTAGATCCTACAACCATATTGCCTAGGTTCAAAGCCCAGCTCTGCCACTTACTAGGTGAGACCTTGGGCAAATCACTTAACCTGTGCGTTTCAGGTCCCATATTTACAAAATGGGGATAATAACAGTATTTACCCCATAGGGCTGTTTCAAGGATTAAAAGTTATGTTGTCTAGTGCATGGTACTATATTATTTTTTTCTTTTTTTTTTCTATTTCTAACCAGGCCTCTTTTAGTTCTTCCTTTTCCCTCTTTCGAAAACTATGAACAGCCCTCAGACCTAGAACCTGGTCCCCTCCTATCATATGCATTTATTTTTGGAATTTACTACTCATTAAATCTCACTCTATATGACTTCCAGATTTTTATATTCAGTCTTGACCTGCTGCCCAACCATCAACGATCAAGGCCTTGAAGACTGGCACTGTCCAACAAACTTTTGGCAATGATGGAAATGTTCTATATTTGTGCTGTCCAGTAAGGTAACCATTAGTCACATATAGCCATATGTGGCTACTGAACACTTAAAATGTGGCTAGTATGAATGAGGAGCTGAATTTTAAAATTTACTTCTATTTAAACTTAAATAAAGTGTCTACTATATTGAACAAAATAGGCATTAGATAAAGCACAAGACTCTAGGCTACTGAAGTATTTAAGAGAAAAAGAACAATGGCATAAGGGCAGAGAATAGGTTGGAGGGTAAATGAGAGAAATCTGTGGTAAGCGCCAGCCACATGGTTGGAATCATGTTATTAGCAGTACGTACTATTAGTAGAATTTGGATTGTGTGACTATTTCAACGTGGGGTTATAAGTGAGGAGAGTCAACTGAAGTTTGTAGCTGGAGCAATGGGAGGATGCCATCACTGAGACAGGATTAGATTTAGAATGAGGGTAATGAGTTTGCTTTGGGGATATGTTGAATTTGCATGTCTAAGAAATATCCAGGGGGATATAACTGCAAAACAGGGAAAATATTAATCTGTAACTGTGGATGTGGGGCTACCAATATATTTGGCGATTACTGGTATATAGGTAGTTGTCAAAAGCATGGCAGTGGAGGAACTCATTCAGAAAAAATATTTAGAAGAGTACTGAATGGAAATCTAAGGAACCCTAATTGTGGTCTGTGTCTGCTTGCATCAGAATCATGTGGGATGCTTTCCTCACTGTGAATGTATTTAATGCCATAGACTTGTGCACTTAAAAATGGTTAAAATGGTAAATTTTGTTATGTATATTTGACAATAAATAATGCAAAAAAACAAAAAACAAAAAACAACAATAAACAAAAACCCAAAAAACAAAAAAACAAATGAAACTAAACAGATTCCTATGCCTCATTCCTGACCTGAATCACTGTTTCTGGAGATGAATCCAGGACTCACCAGGTAACTGTTATGCAAAGTTGTACCAACTGCTTAAGGGGTAGTAAGAAACTAAGAGATAGGAAGAGAATGAAGGGAAGGTGCTATGGTGGAGAAACTAAGGGAGATGGAGGAGTTCAAGAAGGAAGAACGGGTCAGTAGTGTTGACTGGTGCCATCATCGCCCAGGAGGAAGTCTGAAAAGAGCCATAGATTTGGCATTCAGCTGGTTACTGATGAGAGAGGTGAGGGAGGGAACAGAGACTGTAGGGTCTAGTCTTTCACAGGAATTGCTCACGTTTAGCGGTGAAGAGGAAAGATTGCATAAGCTTGAGGAGAAGACAGGACACAGGAAAAGTTGGTGGTTTTGAAGATGAAAGAGAACTGAGCATGTTGATAGGTGGATGGGAGGGAGTCTATGAGGCCAAGAAGACACAAAAGAGATCCTCCATTAAGCATAATTTGGGAGAGGGAGTAAGGGTTGGGATCAAGAACTTAGGGAGAGGTTATTTGGGTAAAAACTCACTGGGTAAGTTTAGAAGTGAAAGGATGGAAGATGAAGAGGTTCAAGACTTAGGACAAGAAAAGAGTTCCTGACACAGCAAACAAGAATGGTACAAGTTGGTGGTTAGGTCATCTGCTTAGATTAGGAGTAGTGATAGAGTCACGAGCCAGTAGAAGGGTAAAAGTCTGGAAGAGTCACTGGGATAACAGTGATCAGGAGCAGCAATTCAGCAAGATTGAGAAGTAGTACTGGAGTCTAATTGAGACTGGAAATGGCATCAACTAACACAATTAGCCTGCACAGAACAGAAAAACTGGTTTTTCTAAATGAAGGTTTGGGTTCCAATATCCTATTATTTACAGACAGTAGTGGCCTCTGCTCTCTCTTGCATAAAGTTCAAATTCCTTTGCAGGAGCTTTTACCTAACTTCTCTAATAATAGGTCCAACGTCTAATTGGTATTCCAGATTCTTGTTCCCTGCTCCCTCTATAACTTCAATTCGAAAATAGGGATTTTGAAGCTCATCAATCTAATCTCTCTTCTTAGCTAGTATGTTTTGTTTTCCCACCTTCTCTTCACCACACAAATCTTTCTTCATTTTCAACTTTCCATCAACTCACGGGTGTTTTAAAAATCAAAACCCAACAGAATTCAATGCTTATCCCACAGCATTTATGCTGCAGTCATCTAATTGTAGACTGCATTTTATGCATGTTTCACTGTACATATTCTTACCCCCATACTAGTGTGTGCCCTCCACCTCCATAATGGTGTGCTTTGGCAGAGGAGATTGACAAAAAAGTCCTAAATTAATTTATTTGCTGGCTTGTTTTCTGTTCTGAGCTTGGGTGAGGTTTTTTCTTGAGCTGAAACCTCCCTGGTTAGAATGGGTAAAAGCAGAGGTTTCTTATCATCCCCAGATTCACAGGGCATTCTCAACCATACTTGTCACGTTTATTATATATAATTATATATATCATATACAATCCCACTTCATTCATTTCATTTGTGCCAGTTGGATTTTGGGTTCATAATTTAAATATTTTAAACATTTTTAAAATGCCAGCCCGTGCATCCTGACTAGTATCTGTAACTGATGTGCTGAGCCTGGTCAGGCTGGAAAGTTATTCTTCCTACTAATCCTTTCCTTTAGCCAGGCCAGTGACTCTTCTTTCCAGATTATATTGTGAGGTTTTGCACAGAAGCAGCAAGAGTAAGTCCAGAAGCCTGAAAAAGTCAGATCAGATTCAAGGGGCCTAGGGAACTGAAACATTCTAAGGCTAGCCTGGCCTTTACAAATAACCATCAAAAGAGGCCCTTCCATATTCCAGAAACAGGATAACTTTCTTTGGGCCATCTCAATCCAGATAGCCCAGCTCATTACTCCACTGATGCATTTTCTTCTGGGATCATTCCAAACGATGGGGAACAGATACTGATCTTTCAGTTGCATGTCTTGGACATTTCGCCAAAAGCTTCTGCAAGGTTTTAAACCAGCCTAACTGTTAAGGAGTTACGGAGAGTGAACTTAATTCTCAGTGTAAAACCCTCTCAATGTCTCTTTCCTAGTCTTCTAGTCCTCTCATCTCACTATCTCCAGAATCTTAACCTGTTCCTTTCTTTCCCTTCTTCTACCAGTGATTCAGGGATCAGATGAGTCTCTGTGGTTTGTCTTGCCCTGAAGAGCAGAAGGCTTCGGTCCCAGCTGGTGTTGCCAAAGCAACATACTAATTCCATGCCATGGTCCTGGGTCAAGATCTTCACAATCTGACTGGCCATATCACCTCTGATGGCAAGGGAGTGGAAGTGGTCAAAATCATGGAGACCCAGCTTTCGGAGACGCCTTGCAGCTGCCCGGTAACACTTCCAGGGCTGTGGCTCCACAAGGAGGTAGCGACAGAGGGAGGAAAGGTGAGCCAGGAACTCCCACAGGCCACGGTCCCCATGGTTCAGATGAATCCACATGGTTATTGACATGCAGAAACCAATGTCAAAAACTGAGCATCCAAACTGACTTAAGAAAGAGCCCAGGAGAGCCTTCCGTCTCCTTTGATTCATGAAGTCCAGGGTTATAAAAGTCAAGGCATCAGGAAAAGGGCATTCTTTTTCAGCTCGCTCCACCAGGACTGGATCTATGTCACAGCAGAGGAGACGGAGTTCTCCTGAGGCATCTGAACAAGTCTCCTCCTCACGTAGGGCAAGGAAGTGTTTGTACAGAGCCACACTCAGATCCTAGAGGAATCCAAAAGAGCTTTGTCATTGCAGCCTTCAACCAGTGAATGGAAGAGAAACCTATCTCCTATCCTCTGATCTTTTATTGAGACTGCCACTGATTCCTGTCTTTAGAGGATGAGAGGCTCCAAAACTGTATAGCCTAGGGAGGTTGCCTGGAAAGTTTTCCAGAGCAGGCTGTCAGCACCCTCCAGGGGTGACAAGCTGTAATGCATCATCTCTATACTTTCAGACTATGATGGCTAATTGGGTTGTATGGTTTTAAGTTACAGCCCAAGAGATGCAAGAAAGAAACCTGGTAAACTTGCTATCGTTTTCTTTTTTGGGTATCTTGGACTCCAGGGAAAAGCAAAGAGTTCTAGGAGTATAACCAGTGTTCCTTACCAATAAGGTGAGGAATAAAGCAAGCACCATCTTATAAAAACCTGCTACTCAGACCTATGGTTGGGAAAGTGGATTCTCAAAAGTCCTCATCCAGCATTCACTCTATAGCCTCAGTTTTACTATCTGTCTTATGCTCACCACCCTCTTCTGAGACTTACTCTGCTTCTGCATTCATCACTTCTAAAAGTCACTGCTGACCTCCTTTGATGATTTGTGATTTTCACCATCTTAGCATTTTTTTGACTCTTACAAAAGTTGCCATCTCCTTTTTCTAACTTTGATTTCTATAACCATATAAATAACTCACATTCATGTTGTTCTATACAGTTTTTTTTCAAGGCATTTTCCTTTTCACTACCTCATTTGCTCTATGCAACAGTCCTGTGAAGAACATATTTATGCCTTTTGTGCAGGTGAAGTGTGGCTGGAAACAACCCAGATGTCCCATAATAGTAGCATGAATAACGTGATATTTTTATTAAGATGGAATACTAAGTAGTTAAAAATGAAGGAATTCAGCTCAGTGCAGCAACATAGATGGTTTTCACAAATATACAATGCTGAGTAAAAGAGCAAGACATAAAAGAAAATACATAGCAAGCTTCCATTTATATGAAGTTCGAAAATGGATAAAATTAAACTTCATTGTTTAGGGATACAAAAATAGTAAGCTATAAAGAAAAGCAAAGAAACAGTAATAATAAAAGTCAAGCTAGTTGTTACCTCTGGGTAGAGACGGGGGTTTACGAACAGGAAAAAGCGTATGGGAGACTTCTGGAATGCTGACAATGTTTTATTCTTAATCTGAACAGTAGTCATAAAGGTGTCTGCTTTATAATTCATAAAGTATAGATTTATGTTTTATGTACTTTTCTTTATGTGTGGCATAGTTTACCAAGAACAAAACTGTATTTTAAAAATTATGGTTCAGAGGCTAGTGACTTACTTGTCCAATATCACAGCAAGAGTTAGGCTACATTACGTTCTCTTCTACATCAGATTCTTACTCTTTAATGGGCATACACATCACCTAGGGATCTTGTTAAAATAAAGGCTGATTTAGCAGATCTGTGGCAAGGGCTGAAAGTCTGTAGTTCTAATAAGCTTTCAAGTCATGCCAATGCTGTAGTTTAAGGACCACACTTTGAGTAGGAAGGTCCTCTACTAAGCTGCTTAATTTTACCAACTCTCTATTTACTTGTTTGCTGTCTCCCTCCTCCTAACAAATCTTGAGTATGCCCTATGTTTGACCAGTAATTTTGTCACATCAGTCGCTCCTCTACCACATCTCTTCATCCTATTCATCACGAATTCCCCAATCCTAGAGTCCCTGGAAACATAAAAAAGAAAATACAGACTCAAAGGCTGAATCTCCCAAGATCCCGATTCAATAGGTCTAGAGCGGGGGTCTAGGAGTTTTAAAATTTAAACAAAGCACTCCATAAATTATGGCATATCTATACGATAAAATATTTCAAAGCTGCTGAAAAAGAATGTAGCATGAGTGATCTCGAAATTATTAAATGAAAAGGCACAAAATAGTGTGCTACTATTTATAGAACTAAAAGAGGTGAGATATTTACATATATATAAATGCTTGTATACACATAGGATACACATGCATACCCAAGAAATTATAAAAAGCAGTTGCCACTATATAGGGGAAAAGGAAGATTTAGATCAGGAGTAGAGACTTGCTCCCTAAATATACGAGCAGGTTTGAGAACCGCTGCCCTAGTTAACTGCAACGATGCCCTTGCCTCTAATATGTATATATACTACTGTCAACTTTAGAATCTTTGGTTTCCTAGTGCCTTTCATGAAATCCCAAACCTTAAGCCCAATCTCACTTTTCTATTGCTTTCCCCGATTTCCTATATCATCAGAATGGAGAAAATGTTTGCAGGGGACACCCAGACACCCACCTATCTGCTCATTCTGGCTTTGAGTCTGTACCCGAATGTCCTCCTCCCTTTATTAGCTGTGTCCCTATAGCCTTCGACCCTCCACCGGAAGTCTCTTCTGCAGAAGACCAGCAATACTATAAAATTCTTCCCACCCACTCCCGCTTCCAGAGGTGGAGTAAGAGTATTAACTTTTGAAGAATTTGGTGTCAGACATTTAGCTATTTTGCATGTGGTCTGACGATAACCATTATACGTCTAAGAATACTTTGCAGTAAGAAAACGTGGCAA